AAATCTACATCTCTCTCTCTCTCTCTCTCTCTCTCTCTCTCTCTCTCTCTATATATATATATATATATATATATATATATATATATATATATATATATTTATACATTCCTACATATATATATATATATAAGTCCTTTGTTGAAAAGAACTGGGAGTGATTGATAGGAATGACAATGACAGTTATTATTATTTTACATTTGAGTACTTTTATAGTGAAAATATCGTGTAAATTTGAGTAAGTGCAATATAATTCAAGTGACAAAGAACTTATATAAGATTAAGATAACACTTTTTAAATAAAAAAATAAAGTTCCTAATCAGCTGAAAACTTGGAATAATAGTCCGTTTCGGAGGTGTGGTGGGGACTGAGGAGGTGGCCTTAATACACTGTAGCGTGACATATACTATTGCCAAACACAATAATCTCAAACCAACCTCTGGTATAATTTTATAAAAGCTAATAAAATTATCTTTAAACTAAATATTTTTTCAGAAACTTTTGAGAAAAAAAAACGGAAGTATATGTCCTGGATGGAAGTTTTGAAGCTGGAAATACTATTGCAAGCTAAAGAGTAAGAAATACTCAACGGTATAACGCTGGCAGATCGTGACTTCGGCGTGTCTCCACTCTTGTGACGTAGCTCTGTCCCCACCACTTTTCTTTATTTTCTTTCTTTATCTAAACTGCTACAATCCATGAAGGGTCTTAGATTCAGTACTATTGGGCCGAAATCAGACTTAATCGCCAAGTTTCCCTCTCAATTAATTATTTAATTAAGAGTTCCTATTTTAAAGATGCAGGGTGTGGTCCCAGGCGTGTCTCACATCCCCAGAATCGATCCAGGGATAATGTAACAGAATAAATAACTACCCGCCCTCAGCTGGATTAGTATCGAGGACCTTGAGCATAGAAAGTCAACGTCTTACCCACTGAGCTATCCCGCTCTCTATCGTTGCAGATATGCTTCAGAAACATTCAGAACTTTTTGAGTTTTTATTATTATAATATAATTTTCAGCGGCAAACTAAAATTGGAAATTTATACCAAGTACTCAATTGCCATACTTAATTCGAGAAAGCAATTGCTGACTTATGAAATTAAAAAAAAATAATAATAACTACGTAAAATAATCTTGTTAGAATTATTCCATAATGTTCACACTATTTCTCACATAATTAGTGCGTAAATGATAATTATAGCCAATAATTATTTCCTAGCTGTCCAATTTAGTTTTATTTCTTCGAGGTAATAAAATCAGGTGATTGGAACTAAGGGCCTGGACGACGAAAAGCTGTAAATAATGGTTGGGTAGATAAGAGCCGTGTTTCGATAGAGGTATTTTGTAGTTTTTTGTCTACGTCTTTTTTATATAGGAATCTACCGCCGCTCTCAGATGGGATCTTTCAGACTGACGCCATACAACCGTCTCACATACCAGATACTTCGCTTTTTTTTTTACATATTTTTTGTATTTTATTTTGAAATAATTATTTAAAGTATAGTGATCATTTATTTATTTTTTCAGGTTAGAATCAAACAAATGTGAAGTTGAATGATTAAACTGCTTTCCACCTTATTGCTCCGTTATCGTTAGTACTGCTGGATCTGTAAAGTATGTATTACATTAGATAACTTTTAATTTACTTATTTGGTCCAATTCTTATTTAAGCTTGGTCCTATTGTAAATGCTGAACTTATTTATAATCTTCCGCCTCTCCTAAATGACAACCATGACAAACTCTGTTTTCCTTTAAAGTAATTGTCTTGTTTACAGTGAAGTAATTTTTAATTACATAATTTATTTATTTATTATCTGAATTTGTCTTTACCCGATAAGATCATTGGCAATTCCTTCTTATGCAAGCAGCACGGCAAAACATTCAACTTAAAGGAGAAAAAAAAACTGAAAAGAGTAGTTCCATGGTGGAACCGAAAATGCAAAGAAGCAAAAAGGGCTAAAAAACGTGCACTAAACAAGTTCAGAAAAAATAGGACATTGGAGAATGCTATAGAATTCAAAAAGTTGTGAGCGCCAGCTAAAAGAATAGTTAAAAACAGTAAAAAGAATTCTTGGAGAGAGTTTGTTTTGTCCATCAACAATATCACTCCTGCCAAAGAGATATAGAGCAAGATCCATACGTAGAATAGGATTTCAAAACAAAATATCGGGTTTAAAACTAGAAGACAAAATAATAACAAATCCAGATGATATAGCGGAGATACTGGCAAATCATTTTGCAAAAATATCGTCAGTTTCATTCAATGATACACTATTATTAAACCGAGTGAATGATCTTGAAGAGCTGGCCGACCCCTGTGAAGATTATAATAATCTCTTTGGCTGCAAAGCATTAGAACACGCCATCAATAAATGCAAAAAGGTATCTGCTCCTGGTATCGACAGCATTATTTCTTATGAAATGATTCGGAATCTCCCATATGAAGGCAAAGCTCACATATTAAAGCTCTATAACCAAGTGTGGCAAAGTAGCAGTTTTCCTCAGGTTTGGAGAATATCTATAATAGTGCCGAACCCCAAAATAGTCAATAGCAATCAACCCAAAAGATTACCGTCCTATTTCCCTTTGTTCGAGTTTGTCAAAAATCCAGGAGAAGATGGTAAATACTAGATTAGCAAGTGTAATAGACAAATTACATAATTAACTAATTCTTTAGTTATCGTTTCCTATTTAATAAAAAAACAGGCTTAGTTGAAAAAAAAAAAAACTCGGATTTCCTACTTTTCTGCTGGAAATTGGCCAATTTGTATAAGAATTTTTTTGTAGCTATTCAGATATGTTAACACTTTTATAAATATTTCCCTCTACTTACGATACACCCTGTATAATTTATAAAACTTTTTTTGCCATTCTAATGTACTTACTGTGTTTTTATATTGATAAATAAAGTCTAAATTCACAATATTGTTCTCAAAAAGTTAATTCAGCTCCATTAAAAATGAAAAAAAAAGACTTAGCTTTATGTTAGTAACGTTTTGCAATAAGTCAAAGATGTATAGATTTTAAAATGATATATAGATTCAAGAAAAAATTGGAGTATAAAGGTATTGTTCACCAGCTGTATATAGATTTTAAAAAGGCTTACGATTCTATTGACCGCCAAAAACTGTATAATATTCTAATCGAGCAGGGGATTCCAAAAAAACTAGTAAATCTAGTCAGGATGTGCTTGACGGAGACACTCAATAAAGTTAGAATCGGTAATAATTTGTCCGAAAAATTTGAGGTTCGTTCGGGCTTAAAACAGGGGGATTCTCTTTCGCCTGTCCTGTTCAATTTGGCATTAGAACATGCCATTAGGGAGGTAATGCGAACCGAGAAAGGGTTGGATCTGGGTGGGACAACATCCGTGCTGGGCTATGCTGATGATCTGGTACTGTTAATCGAAGATGTTGAAACTATAAAACTAAATACGAAAACGTTAATGAAAGCCGGTAAAGAACTAGGACTCGAAATAAACGTGGATAAAACAAAATATATGGTTAGCTGCAAAAATGGCGATACTACTGGTGATATCGATATAGATGGTAATATGTTTGAACAGGTAGATAAATTTAGGTATCTAGGTTCTACGATAACTAGAAAAAAAGAAATTGAAGAAGAGATTAAGGTTAGACTGAAGGTGGGAAATGCTTGTTATTTTTCTATGACAAAACTACTTAGTTCGCGCCTCTTGTCCCGAAACTTAAAAATTAGAATCTATAAAACAATTATCTTGCCTACAGTCCTTTATGGATGCGAAACTTGGCCGCTTACATTAAGGGATGAGCAACGTCTTAAGGTTTTTGAAAATAAAGTATTGCGTAGAATATTCGGACCGAAGAAGGATGAGTTAACCGGAGAGTTCAGACGGTTACACAACGCCGAATTGCGTGAGCTGTATCCGGGTAATATAATTGAGGTAATTTCATCGCGGCGAATCAAATGGGCTTGTAAAGTTGTTGGGCTTAGTAACGAGAGAATTCCTAAAAGGTTAATATTTGCTATGCCGAATGGTAAGCGTCCGAGGGGTAGACCGAAGCGAAGGTGGGAAGATTGCATTAAAGCCGATCTGAAGGGACTGGGTTTGGACGGCGAACGGTGGAGGGAGGTGTGTAACAAGCGATTGGTGGTGTCGGCATCGAACCTTCGGGTTCGCTAAGCCTTATTATTATTATTATATAGATTCAAACTGGTAGATAAAATTATTATATTTATTTGCATTTTGAAAATTCAAGAAGAAAATAGAATATTATAAGGGAATACAAATCATAGTTATAATTATACGGCAATGAGCCTTTGCGGTGGAGTAGGGAAGAAAAAAAAAATTAGAAAGATAAATTTATATAAAACATAGCAACTAAATGAGTACACCAATAGGTACCGTTCATTATGAGTATAGATTGATATTAAATTTCGACAAAACTTTAGATACAAATCATTCAGATTTATCATAATTGAGATAATAAAAAAAAAAACGCTGAACATTATTACACAATAGTTTATTATTTCCAAACAATTTAACATCAGCATTAACATTCCATTCCATGTTACACAAAGGAAAATAAATAAAACGTTTTTCCTAATTTTTGTTTTAATCATTTATAATTCGCTAAAAAAATAAACCACATTGTTTCAGTTGATGCAAAACTTTAAAAAAAAAAAAAGATATAACATTTGTCGATTTCAACAATTTTTTTTTGATTTTTTAGAATTTTTTTCCAAGTTTATTTTCGTTGAAGTACGCCATATAGATAATTTTGAAGGCCATCGAGAAGAATACTTTAGCCAAATTTCATTGAAATTGGTACATTTGTTTAGGCGATACAGTCTATACCAACACAGGCTCACAGTAATAATTATTTTTAAAAGCTGTCAAAAGATAATTGAACTGAATAAATAAAGCTAAATCGAGGCGAATTATTCTCAGTATTTTACTTCCTGTAAAAATACAAATTGATCAGATCAACAGAACTGAACACAGGTAGCAGGAGTACAGATCAGCAGACAGATTTTTTTGCATGATTGGGTAAGGAAAGCAAGCTAAGATAAAAACTGACCAGTTCAGCAGCGATTAGAGCTGAGTAAGTCTCCACGGGATTAGAAAACGATATCTTTCCTCTGTCTGGGTTACCTCCTGCTTTCTCCTTTCTAAACCTATTATAAATAATAAAAAATATATGAAAAATAACTATCCATAGCAAACCCGCTGGTTCAATTCCGATAACAACCAAAGGGTGTTAGTTCTTGACCTTCATGTTCTGAACTTAAATTGATAAGAACCTGAAGTTGTTTCTCTTTCACGTTTCGGCCTCCTTCGCGCAGTGCACAGTAAATTGCCAATTAATTTTTTTTCTTAATCATCCTATCTAATAAGTTTTCAACTGAGTTTTTATTTCCAAAGTGAACCCTAATTATTATTAACAATTTTTCAGGAAGCACAAAAACTATATATTCTATTCCATTAGTAAAATCAAAACCAATATTAAAAAAAAATAATAATAAAATGCTTAGCGAACCCGAAGGTTCGATGCCGGCACCATCAATCACTTATTACACACCTCCCTCCACCGTTCGCCATCCAAACCCAGTTCCTTCAGATCGGCATTAATGTTCCCACCTTCGCTTCGGTCTACCCCTCGGATGTTTACCATTCGGTACAGCAAATATTAACCATTTAGGAATTCTTTCGTTGCCAAGTCCTACAATTTTACGCCCACATGATTCGCCGCAATGCAATCACCTCAATTATATTAACCGGATACAGTTCACACAATGCGGCGTTGAGTAACCGTCTGAACTCTCCTGTTAATTTTAATTATTTTTTTAATAAGTTAAGAAGTTCGTTTTTTGAAGACCGTGTTTCTGAAAATAACTGATTTGTTCAGTAATTATTAAAAAAAAACACTGAAACTTGAATAGGGACCCTTTCGAGAAAAAAAAAAGCTTCAAGGCCCGTTTTCGAACAAAAATAAGGTTGATTTATTGTTTGTTTTGAAGAGAAGAAATGATTTATGATTAAAGTTATTAAAATGTAGAATAAAAAATTAACTTTTTGTTTACTTTATTGGCACTATACATTTTTTTTTTTATTTTCAATTTTCGTTTCAATTTTTTTATTAAATACTTCTGGAATGGAAGATTCATTACATTCCTTGAAAAAAATACAGTTTCGGAAATAAACTTATTTAGACAACACTTTTTAAAAAGAATATTTAGGTTAGTTTTTGAAAAAAATAGTGGCACCAAAGGATTCATTGGGTGTTTTTACATAAGAATCGATATCCACAAATAAATACGTGCTATACTTTTCTCTCCACATGGAAAATGAGTTCTTTATGACTACAAGATTTGGCTGAAGTACGTCTTGGGTACAACGGAAAAAGGTGGAATCGTTGCCATTTTGAATAAGTTGATGAAAATATTTATAATATAATTTTGATCATTTTTTACTTGATTATTACACAAAAATCTGTATTATATACAATACAGCAGATAGATTTTGTGGAACTCAGGAGTGATGTGCTTTTGATGAATGAATGGGAATTTCATGAGGAAGTGACGCAATCCCAATGCGATCCTTAATTTTCTACATCTTTGATAAGAGTTATTTTGGAATTCTACCTCTGGGCTATCCGTTTTAAAAACCAAAATGTCCCTTTTTCTATATAAGTCGTATTTTTGCCGAATGCCGCTTAGTGTGGTTGCCATAGGATCTTAACACTTTTCGTTTAGATTTTAAAAATTAAAATATTGCTGATAGTTCTATTGTCTATTGTCTATGCACTAATATATAAAATAACTTTTTGATGTTCTTAACTGATAAGAAATATCCAGATACCCTATACTCTCCGTAATAGACTTCTATAATACTCATGGTAAGTGGGATGACTAAAAACCAAGACTTACCTAGACCAAACAAATATGTCTTGACAAAATAAAATAATAGATTATTTCAGAAATAGCATTTTCTTATTGCTAAACTATTAAACTAAGCTCATCTAGCTAATCTATTCATTAGGTAAGTTGTGACTTTAATGGCTGTGTTAAAGTATGAAGCTTCGCTAAATATGTGTGTTGATATACCATCTTGATAATATTTCGCAAAAAAATTTTTAAGTAAAGGATTAGCAAAACAATATGGAAATAAGTAGATAATGTAGATTATGTGAGGGAGGAATTAATTGTTTTTCGCTGGTCGATTACAATATTCCATTCAACATAATAAACCAAAATATTTGAACAAAGTGCTTTGATAGGGTCTATTTTTAAGCGCTGATTGGAAAGGCAGTATTCAAAACAAAGCCTCGATCATGACCTTTTCTAAATTATTAAAAAAAAATATATCTACGAGCAAAAAAATGCCTTTAAGAAATAATAAAGTATATATATCACCCAGGAAAAAAAGAGTAGTGGAATAGTAAATACATAATCTTTAAAGAGGAAGAAATGATTAAATATATACAAAATCAAATGGACTGTATCTTTGTTAACAATTGTTCGAGTTTTATTGTTTTTTTTTTGTTTCGTAGGTAATTTAGTGATCTTTTTAATAACCATGGGTACAATCCAGAAAAATACTTTTTGAGTTATTCGCAAATAAAGGTTCTTTTTCTTCGTTTTAATAATAGAAAGTTACTTTATAAGCAAATAAAGTTACTTTTCCTCCCATAATTTCGGTAGGATATGACTATTGTTCGCATGTGAAGGAGAAGAACATCATTAAAATGAGTGGTCAATCATTGGATTTGATGAAGAATTGCCGAAGTTATGGCGTACTGACAAAAAAAACCCTATAAGATTGTATCTACGAATAAACATACGTTAATTTCGCCTATTTGTCAGATGCATTGGATAGAAGGATAGCTATTTAAAGCGAGGGTCCTTGCTAGAGTTTTTTTTTTCTTTTTCCATTTTTGCAAGAGCTTTATACGTCATTGTTGACATAGGAATACAAACCTACCTTCCAGTCTTGCGAAATCGGTGGAGACCAAAGACACCAAGAATGACAGTCGCTATCTCGACAAAATCAGGCGGTTCTCGGAAGATAATTGTGCCGTTCTGAAAGAAACTTGGGAGGGAGGACCCCCCGAATTGGAAATAAAGGGAGGACCCCATACCTGAAGATGCCGACCTGAAGACTAGATAAAAAGCCGTTGAGGAAGACGGTGGAATGCCAACGAGCGGAGTGCGAGGGTTCATTGTGCGCTCTCGTACCTGTCTTTCTCTTTTCCGGACCTCTGCCCATCATACATAAATACCTTCTGCGGGCTTACACAATGGCTGCTTAGTTGTCTATACTTGCTCAACGTTAATTATTTGTTAACCCCAGGTACTCAAAGAAACTCGGGTTATTTTACCGATCAATGAGCTGGGGTACAGAAAGTTGTGTGTAACACCTTTTTTTTTTTTTTTTTAAGTGAAAACTTCTTTGGGCACGCTTTGCCTTTTTTTTGTGGGTAGTGAATGAAACTGTGCCATCACGTTAGGATATGTAACACTCATTCGGGTAAAGTCGGCTCGAGTCAATTAATTCAGTCTAGTCGATACCCAATAATTAGTCTAAAAGCAAGATGTTGCTCTAGATGTTATATACCTAGATTTATAATAACATGAATTAGAAACTGACGATGGAGTACATTAGTTTTAAGCCATGTATCCACAAGATGATTGGGATTGTGGTTCTGAAGATGGGAGTAAATTTCCCGAAACGTAAACTTGTAAATATGAAACTTTGATAATACAACAAATATATTCAATTGTCGTTAATTGGATGTAATCATGGCCAAATAACTAAGATTAATTGAGATGTGTTTCAATTTGGATTAAATTATCTCAGAAACTAAAAATCTTATATACTGTAAGCTAAGACAATTTTCAGCATTTCATCCTCTTTGTAATGAGATATTATTCAAAACTGCGTCTTAACACGACTAATCAAATCAAATCATAACCAGTTTTGTTGAACATATGCATTAAAATCTGAAAAATTAAAATTCGGACCTTCATAATGTAACATAAGGAAATTTTCTGCATTTCATCCTCTTTTTAATAAGCAATGACTCAGAATTGTATTTTGACGAGATGCTGAGTTAGAGAGTCGGAAAGGAAAAAAGATTGCGCTAAAAACCAAATAATGACAATTGCTTTGAACATTCGGAATACAATATCTCAAAATTTAAATACCATGAAGAATTCAGAAACATATTTGCAGAAGTAAGTAAAAATAAGAAGTGTTTCTATTCGATTTCCTGTTGCACATGATAATGTTTCGACAATAGTCATTAAAATCGTAAACAAGAAATAGTTTACACGCATCTATAATTGTGTATATTATAAATTTTATTACCTAATGAATATAGAACAAACAAAAAAAATCATATTATTAATCCCGCCTTGATGTTTTCACTTCTACTGTGTGGTCTTAAGCACACACCATAGTTTTTTTTAAGATTCTTCATAATTTTATTTTTAACTATTACATTCATAAGTATAATTAGTGAGCGTAATTGCCTTCTAGACACCATTCATTTCATAATAAGACCTTCTTAAGAAATTTACATTAAAACAAGAACTCTACTAAATGGGAAACAGATTAAAGCGAATATTAATGAGTATGAAATAAAAATGTCTTTTAGGACTATCTCTAGGAAAATAAAACAAGAGAACAGAAGACATAAAAAATCATAAAAGTGAAATATATATTTTTAAAAGATTAAATATCGATATGCGCCTGTCAGAATACTGACAGCTCATTACGTGTACCTATGATTATGGCATTCTCGGAATTAGATGGGCAGTAGGTAAGCAACAGCTCTTCTGGACTTCGTTCATTTATTGATATTCACAAAAACTTTTTATCCAGCTCTCTTTAGTAGATTTTAGTGTAAATCAGTATGTTGATAAATGTTATTTACGTACGAAGGAGCTTCCCAATCACATCATATTATTTTACGATAGTATTAAGATAAATGTACCGGTAATAGAAACTTTAAGAGAATTTTTCAACATTATTGCGAATCACAACTTAAGTTCCGACGGTGGCTCTTTGCAAATGGGTTTGATTGAGAACATATTTAGTCTATTGCCAATTTATTTTATTTTCTTTACAGTCAATTAGTTTATTATTCATTTTGTTCAGTGCATTTTGTATTAGCAATAGACATTCAGGTTTTGGGGTCGATATATTTTTTTATATAATTTAAAAAAATCAGAATAAATTCTCCACAGTCTTAAACAAGGAAATGGAAAACTTCAAAATAAAAAAGTCAAACCTATCTCCTAAAGGAAATTGATAAGAAAAGATCCCTGAAACAAACACTTCATTGAACTTAAAAAACCAAAATCAACTTAAAAAATCAAGCAATCGGCTATTGTGGCATATCACCAGTAGTGATCTAGCATATCAACTTTCTAAGTGTTCTACCTTCAAATCTAATCGTATTTGCACTCTCTTTTAGACGTATAAGGCCCATTACATGTTCATAAGTTCAAAACTGTTTCTTACATGTGCATTTACCCTATATGGCATATAATAAATACATTAACAAAAATGTTCATCTTAGCTCTGAATGATTATGATTAATACTATAATAAATATTTTAGATTAGAAATTATTTAAGAACTTAGTATTGATAATATAGTAAATATTCCGTATGAAATTAAAAAGTTAAGGCATCGTATCTAAATTTCTCATTTAGGTAATGTTGGAGCTGCGTAAGAAGGTAGAATTTAAGAATTAAATACTTTCAACTATTCTACACCACCATACTAAGACCTATTTGGACATACGGAGCAGAGCTTCGGGGTTCCGCAAACCACACAATCCAAAATACTTTGTAAAATCGCCAATGCTCCATGGTTTATTTCAAATCACACCATACACACAGACATGACATACCAAAAGTAAAATCCTTCATACACAACATTTCATTCTTCTACTCTCAGGCATCCAAATCCACTCGTTCTATCTCTATCTTCCTCCCTGTTACCTGGTGAGCCTCAACGACGACTAAAAAGGCAGTGGCCTAGAGATCTTCTGCTGGCAAGTTAAGAAAATATCAAGAATACAAGAAGGTAGAATAAACTCCAACACATTTGCTTGATGTTTTACAACGCAGTGGCAAATTTAATGGAAAATAAATAAATAAATAATAAATACTTTCGAAAATAGCATATGCTTAAAAAGATAAGTTGGAAAAGCGAAAATTAGTTCTCAGAACAAATAATTTAAAAGTCTTCTACATAAAGTAAATCAGTTGATAACTTAAAATTCTGAATCTTTTAAAGGTTCACATGATAACGATGGAGTTAACAACGTCATAGAAGTATGTAGAGGGGTTAAAAGGAAAAATGTATTATTTCTCCTTAGGAAAATTTGTCGTTTTTCTAATTTTGTCCCATTAATAATTTTCGCCATTTTTTCTTGAAGATCTCCAAAAAGTGGAAGTTTAAGATCCGCCGTTTTACAATCCGATGACTATTCATGTCATCAATCTAAAAAAAGTAAACGTTCAAAAATATATATTTATGGATTCGTCCCCTTTACATAACACCATGTAATAATTTACAATGTATTGAAGAAGAAATGTTTGCCGACGAAAGGGAAACCCTCCGGCTCCTTGTAAGCTCGGGGTGATTCATTGTTATGCACCCATAGCAGACGGGAAGATAAAACATGGCGGTGACTGGAGCAAACGTAGGATGGAATATGCATGTTGGAGGTTTTAACAACCCCTCGGTACAAATATTCCTCCGAGAGGGAAACACGAACTGAATGCCAACGAAGATGGGACAATTTACACGGCGGTTCGCCCCGGGACAGGCGAGCACTTATAGAACATAGCCGGTATAAATAATAGGCGTGGGAGATGATAGTAGCGGTATAAATCAGATAACTAGTCCGCCTATAGTAGTGGGCGGCGCAGCCTACTTCCAGATCATGTCCAGGATCATGCTCCATCCATGCTCTTCTGCTCCCTTAGGCTTCTCCCATTCTCGGCTTCCCATTGGCTACAGCATCGTATAATCCAGCAACAGCTCCAAGATTTGACAACATTCTCCATGTTGTCTTCTGAAGTAATCATATTACTAAGGTTCTTCCTTATTAATATCCGAGAGGACTTATGGTCATCTCCAAAAAATGTTATGGTCATCTCCTTTCACCATTCTTGAGGACATAAGGTTTATCGGGAACATGGCTTTACTGACCATCGAGTACGAGACCTTCCTCTTCCTGTATAGAGTGCTCTTGGAACCTCCACTCTGTTCCTGTCTTTCAGTATCTCTGTTTCTTTACATAATGCTGGAAATGCTTCCAATTTTTTGTAAGCAAACATATGCGATGAAAAAATGTTTGACTCTTTTAACTTTAAGATACCTAGACGACTTTTGAAGGTAATAAGTTTTAAATTATGTATTTTTGAACTGCGATCACATCTACCATTTTGGATACAAAAACTCATTAAGTGTACAAAAAAAATGATAAAATAAAGAAATGGAACATATTTAAATTTTTACGGAAACAAAAACAATTCGTTCACCATTATTATGCTATTTTTAACAATCTAAGTAATATCGGTTTCCAATTCGACTTCATCCCTCTGAGATTCGTACGCATAATACTGAGTTAAGATAAGCGAGACCGTCTAGTGTGCCCCGAAGGAAATACACTGAAGGGGTGTTTCCTTTGTTATAATGTACTCATGTGTCTGATCCTTAGTCGAGTTAATATTATCTCTAGTGTTGCCCAAAATCGGTCTTGGTAAAAGAATAAAATAAAGCGTTTTTGTGAGTAACAATTAAGGCAAAATAGTTACTAATACTAGTCAATTTTAGTTACTTATGCACCAAATAATTGGTGACATTGTATAGATTATTTTTCTTCTACAACTCTCCCATTCCAAGGTGAGGTCCCATCACTATCCTTCTTGACAATGCCTTTAATGTGTTGTCAAGTTAATTTTATTAATTGGACTTTACTATGTTTATGTACATAAAACATGTAAATGCACCTATTCTGTTGCAGTTTTATAAGATCTAAACTAACATGTTTAATAGATAGCAGTAAGCTAATAGGTAACTACAAGACTTGCGAGACTCTTCCATTTGGTCAACACTAATTATCTTATTTCTTCTTTTCAACTGAAAATCCTTTGGATTTGTTATTTTGGAGGATGCATAATGACCCTGCAAGTCAAAAT